GCAGACGAGAAAGACAAAGCGCTAATATGCACTTTTAAAAAGAATCCAGCTGCTGTGGTCCAAGTCCCACAAGAGGAGGTATCACCCAATACTAGGTGAGTAAGAAATGGTATTTTGATTTTCTGTATGTCCTGCACATATAGTGAATTGACAATAAAAAAAAATCTTTGAATCTTTGAAGGTCGCAGAGTGACACCACAACCTCAGATGGCATGTTCAGAAAGAAGATGAGGGAGGTGGACACGACGGCGGTAGCAAAAAAGATATGGATCATTGGGTCCAGTTATATTCATCGTGGGGAGAAAGCTGCACATGAGCTGTATGGACAAAACTTTGGACTTAATGCCACAGTTCAGTGGTTTGGCAAAGGGGGCATGCGCTGGAGTGGGGTTCTTCCGCGTTTCTATGGAGAGCTTGCCAAACAGAGTTCCCCTGATATTTTGGTTGTCCACACCGGTGGCAACGATCTGGGCCAGACTCCCCCCAGCAAACTTGCATCTCAGATGCAGAAAGAACTGATGCAGCTTCAAAGAGTTTCCTGCAATGAGAGTTTTGTTTTCCTGTATCAATGAGAGGCAAAAGTGGAGCTATGGGCCTCCACAGAAGATCAACAGTGACAGGAAGCTGGTGAACGCACTGATGAGAAAGGCTGTTGGCTGTCTGGGTGGTGAAGTTATTGAACATCCCCTCCTGAGGTTTTTCAAAAAGGAAATATTCCTGCCGGATGGAGTGCACTTCACTGAGGAAGGAAACAGCATCTTCCTGACCAGCATCCGTCGTGCCCTGAACAAGCTCCTTTAAACATCTTGGCCAAAAAGCACATTTAGAGTAACAGTCAGACAGTAACTGGTCACTCTAAAACTCTTGAATGTCTTGTCTTGAATGATGCAATTCAAATAAAAATGATAATTGTAGGTGATTGTGTACAGTTGTGCAATGTCTTTAGAGATAAACAGAGTAAGAAAATCTGGATAAGCATTAAATGTATAACTAGCAGCATAACATTTTAACCTACAGCAAAATGGCGGGGAATCTGAACAGTGACATCAAAAGTGAATAAAGGCTTGTCAATCCGCCTGCTGATGAATACAGGGATTATTTCAGTTGATAAAGCCAAGACCAGTGCCTTTCATGAAAAGTTAACCCCTCCCTTTTGTTTCATCCAACTTTTCATTCATCCATCCATCCATCCAGCTGTTGCACCCTTTACTCACACATCCATCAATGTTTATCTCCATTTTACTGAATGCATCCGGTTATAATGACATACAGGAGGGGATGATGGGGTTATTGATTGTTTAATTAACAAAGGGCTCGCCCTAATTGTGATGTTACTGACAACATTTTTTCCTTGTGTGTTTTGGTGTTTTGCTGATTACTTCATTTTAATTATTGTAATAGAGAGAGAGAGGAAGAAAGACATTATGCTTTGGTGAGTTTCACCCGTTCTTTACTTTCTTTCTCATACAGTCACAGACTCTGTGCTCTCTGGATCCCCCAAACACCAGAATGCTGGCAACCAAAGCCCCCCTTTTGCTCCAAAGATTAAAATATGGATTAACCTATAAATAAATCCTGTATTGATCTATCCAGTGCTTTCAGATCATTAAGTATGTGAACAAGAGTAGGTGAATAATCCACTTCAAGGCTTGCTGAATAATGTGAGTGCTAGCAAGAATAAGAAGGAAAGAAATAATAATAAATAAACACAGCTGATCCAGTGATGCAACCACCTGAGGACAGGATGTTCAGATTTGTTACAATTTCTTAAAGGAACATGCAACATTCAACAACTACAATTCATACAGTACAGACAGATGTGGGTGGAAAACAGTGTTTCTCTTTTTGGTACAAAGTCTCAGCAGGCACTTTTTTCCTACGGTAAAGACCTTTCTTTTTACAACAGACATTTTGACTATATATATAGTAGGAATGCACACATATTACTAATAATAGTAACACTGGCCCCATTCTATTGAAATGAACCATGTTCTAACAAGGATAAAGGTTCAGATCTAATATACCCCATTTATTTTGTATATTTGAACATCACACACACAAACTCTTTTCTTCACACCTTAACTAACTAAAGTAACACTACTGAATTCCCTGGAGGTTGGGGTTAGACTAGATAACAGAATGGATGTGAGCCAAATCCACTCTATAAATCCAGTAAAAGCAGCATATAATTGGCCATAAAGGTAGCCCCATACAGGAAGCCTGGACTGTTTTATCTTCTCTGATAAAACACTCATGGATTTAGAATACCCTCCATCACCCTACGCACACACACACACACACACACACACACACACACCCCAACGAGCAGAAGATTAGAAGCATTACTGTACAGTGTTCCCCAGAGCATCAGCCGAGATCAAAAACATGTTGACGCTGCTTTAAATCTGACTGTTATGGGGGTCTCATACACCTAAACCGCCGATAACAGTCTTCAGTCAGTCCAGAATACCACTGAAAGGGTGTAATAACTACAGGGCTGGCGAACACTGAGTTGTGTACAAACAGCATGTGTGAGCATGGAGGGCAAGCCTAAAGTCAGGCTTAATGCTGTGTCCACACAGATGGCGATACGTGAGCAGAACGTTAGCAGAGCAGAAGCAGCTCCAATGCTCCATGTGTGTCTACAGGGGAACAGTGCTGAGTTGGAGGCCACCTGCTATTTAGATGTCCGAATCACAACTAATGTGCTTGCATGTGTAAATGAAGGGGAATGCGCTTGAAGGGCAGAAACATGGCTGAGACACCTTCTCTGCAGACATGTGCTGGGCTTTGGTGTGAATACACTATGTGGTCACCAGGGCAGGATTTCTTCCTCTTCTGTTGACAAGTACCTTCTTTTCACATCATTTTTTAGTCATCTGATTAACTGACCATGCAGGTGTTTTAAACTTTAAATCTTTATTATAACTGTAATTTCCTACATTTGAAATCTGGGCTCCTTAAAATGAGCTGAATCAATTAATGACTCAAGAATAAGGAAGGAACAAGTGTTAATCACTGTCTTTTTCATTCACTCAGCTGATCTGAGATCACCTGTAAACAGTTCGGGCAAATTCTCTTAATCATTTTATTTCATGGTGAAGCAAATGAAAGAGTTCAAGTGCTGTATGTCATGTTCTTCTTAACAGTGAGGGTAAATTAAACAAACAAACAAAAAAACAGACAAATACAGCATAAGCAGTAATGCAGCTGTTACTACCCAAGTTTCAACCCTCACCTATAGGTTTTGGGGGGAGAACGAGCTCATGCGTAGCCAAAATGAGCTTATTTTTGCGGGCTGGCTGAGGTCTCCCTTATAGGAGACATCCAGAAAGAAGTCCGAGTTTAAAAGCTATCAAAAGAAGTTGTTAGAAGTGGTTCAGGCATCTGATAAGTTGTTGTGCAAACAAAAACAAGTTTTTATGTTACTTTGTTCTAACCCAGAAATAATTTTGTCTAATTGCAGTTAGCTTCAGTTAGTTACTAATGGGACTTGTCAATGAAAAGCCCCGTTACTGGTGTGACACAAAATTTAACAGCAAGGCAAGGCCTGGTCTCTAATGTAAATTACAATTCAGTGTTTTCCAGACTGCAGTGGCAATAATTAGCTACCTTTTCCCTGACCGTGGCTCATTACAAGTCCACAGTGAGAAGCGAGGATAGGGAAATAGGGTATTGTTAAATTCAACTTAATTAAAGTAGCCAATTAGAACACTTATCACATTAGTCAGGTTTGCCCCAAAGAATGTTTGCATTTAGCTGGTTAAAAAAAACTAGGAAAAAAGCAGATCACTATCTATTGCTGCTTATTAGTCTGCTGTGTGCATGCTCGTGTAAACATGAGAGCTGGTGGGTGCGTGTCAGGCTCCGAGGAATATTTCTTCTTACTGTTCAGACAGCAAATAAGTTGTTCAAAAAATGTGTGTGAAAGCGTGTGTGTCTCACCTCATATTTGCTTCCATGGTGGAGGCAGCTTGGTGGAACTGTTCCTTGCTCTGTTCGTATCTTTCCCAATTCTAAAGACATCAAGGACAACACAGGAGGACATAAACAGAAAGCATTAGTCCTCTTTGATTTTCTGTGCTAACTAAAGATGCTGCTAAATGAACAAAGGCTGTTGTGGAGATTTATTCACAGCATATGTCTTGTCCTGACTGGCCATGAGTTTACTAAAAAAGCTGGGGATATAAGATGATGATGCAATCAAATTTAAAATAAATCACACTGACCAATATGTTCATATTTTGGAGCAGTGGGTCCAGTTTGTAAAACAGCACTGGTAACAAATTACAAAGTCCTCAGTTTTTGAGAGACATTTGCATGAACCTTTTGCCAAAATGTTTAAATAAATCACTAAAGTGACACTGCTCATCACCCCAGCACCTGTAAATCTAAAATTACAGTTTTCCAGTTTTATACTTCTGTTAAAAAATGGTGTATGACATGTTTAGAGATGCTGGTAAATGGATTCTTTTCCTTTTTAGAGCCAAGATAAACTTTTCGTCCTGTTTTCTGCCTTATATGATGGTAGGCCAATTGGATTCTGTGGGTTGCTTCATATTTAATGAACAAATGTGTGTGTTATCAATCTTCTGATCTCACACCCCCACCCCCCAAAGTGAATGAGTGCATTTTGCTAAATGTTAAATGTTAAACTCTTCCTTTAATTTCCTGGTAAGTATTACACTGCATTAGTTTTGGCTATGCGTACCTAATAAACTGTCAACTGTAGTACAGATTGCACATACAACATGGAACCTTTCAGCTGTCAACAACATTCATTTATTCAACAGTGTTAGTCCTCGATAACATGATCAGAGCATCTCCAAAAGTAATGAAAAAAAGGTCCCCATATAACTAAATCACGTTTTTCCTGTAGTGTACTTCTTCATTGTTCTTTCCCACATCAGCTTCCCCTTTCTGTCCCACTTTCTCTTTTGCATTATGCACCATCCAGACTTTATAAACTGTTTTGTGAGCTCAAAGTTACAGCACAGAATCAGAATTTCTTACAGTCTCATCATAAAATACACAGTGTGAAGAAAAAGGTGTGGAGTTGCATTTTCATCCCAAGGAAGCTTCTGTGATTCCAGCTTCTTCTAGTGAAAGTAAAGCTCATAAAGCTCAGCAGTAATGAGTTGCATTACTTATACATTTTTTTTTTTAGAAATTGTGATTTCTGACTTTGCAGCTTGCCCTGTGTGCACCGAACCACAAGCAAGCAGACAGTGGTATTATGATAAAACAAGCAACTAATCCACAACAACTGCAGCCTCTCCTCTGTTGATCCTCCTTAGGCCTTCCAGCACCCCCCACAAATATTTAACCAGCAAACTGTACCAGCTGGGAAGGGAAGGATGATGGAGAAAGGAACAAAGACAAAGCTAGAAGGGAGGTAGGTGAGGAATAAAGAAAAAGAAACAGCAGAAGGCGAATGGTTTAGGAGAGAAAGGAGAGAGAAGAAAGGGTGTGAGAGATTTGTGAACTGAGGGGTAACATAAACACAAAGCTACTTATGTCTTATGATGGCTAATAGAACATTTAAATTTCACATTCTTCCTCTCAGGGGCAAAGCAATGGGTGTGACCACAACTGGCAAGTGTCTGTAATCCTGGCCATGCCATGAATTCTTAATTATGTCTGGTTATCTTTCTAAGTGACTCTATAACACACAGTTATAGCACAATCATAATCAGTTTTATATTAGGATGAATGATCCCTTTACCTTTCTCAAAAGAAAAAAGAAGTAAGTGTGGTGTCATCAGTTGCCATGGCCACTACTGAGTTAAGGGGTGGTTGTAGGGTTTCTCATCGAGCAGCTGTCATATTATTCTTATTTTTTCACTGGCTCTAAACCTTCACCATCATCCTCGTCCTTCTGCTCAACATATTTCTTTTTCTTTTATCAAAAAGCTTCCTCTCCTCTAGGCCAGGCCACATACATTGCAAAAAATAAAGTAAATGAAATATATCACATTTTGATTTCAATACAGGACAGCCATTATTCTTTGACACTTATTTTAATCTCTGACGTTTCAAGACGGAAGGGGGGGGAACTTACTACCTGTCACAAAAAATGCCTGATGTACAAAATATTACGTCACCACTGTTATTCAACTTTAGCAACACTAATGATATAAATGAGTTCAGCCGCAGATGTTAATTTCAATACACTTCCACTTAAAAAGACCAGGTGCCTGTACTGCACGTGTGTGGACCAAGAGGGGGTGTAGAAGAAAGTGCAAGTTTAGTGCTGATGAACGCTAACACTGGCTGAAGAACGAACATATTTTCAAACTGCAATCACGTAGTCTTCTGCCACCTAACTCATCCTTCATTTCTTTCAATAACTGAAGAACCTGAGAGCTTGTAAAATTCTCTCACATTCTATCCTGGCATCCCAGTGAGAGGGATGTCATTTACAAACACCCTCTCCTTCCTCAAATGTGTTCTTAACACCGACGTCTCAAATGAATGACAGCTGCTGTGCTGGCAGCAGTGCCACATATTTTACACCTGCTTTCTCCTGATTTTAAATATCAGCCACAATTTCTTCTGGTGGTATAACTCAGGTGCTCAGGGAATTTGTAAAAATTTCTATTCTCTCTCCCCTTATTTTACATCCCTGAACGCTTTAAAATGCATATTGCATGAGTTTAAACGTGCAACTTAAGGGTGCTGCTTCCCAGGGCTTTGACTTTAGGCCACCTGCAACTACTTTCCTCTTTTCCTGAGTCCTCATTATGTTCCTTCACCCTCAACACAACAGACCCTTCTCTCTCTCTCTTTCTCTGAGTGCCTAAGGTCTTTTTAACAATGTTGCCCAATTTTCCTGCTATATCAATCTCTACTTCAGCCAGAATGGGTGCTTCCAACTGAGGATACTCATGTATTTCCCCATTCTTTCTACCTGAATATTCAGGCAACAATGATAATGGTGTATGGTCAATATTTTGAGGATAACTGTACCAGAGCTGGGGACAATACTGAGGAGAAGGCTAAAATGCATAGGAAAAAAAATTAATGATCATGCAAATACCTGATAGAAACCCACTGTTTATTTTTTTAAAGTCGGCCATCGAAACCTGCAAAATATTAAAAGAATTGCACAGCACCAGGAAAAAAAAAAAAATTCTGGCCACGTGTAGTGTCAACAGCTTGTTAGCCATGAAAAGGTGGCAACAGCTGTACTTTACAGTCGTCAGCCATCAACAGATTTCTGCTTCCCTGCTGATTATGATTGCAGTCATTCTCCCCAGCTGTCTACACATGTTTACAGCAACCGTAAAACTGTGGGGATACATTTCTTCAAATTTAGTGCTTGGAATCTGCTGGAGTCAATTCCAACCTTGAATGTGATTAGGTAGATTTATTTTTACTGTTTGTTTCTATGCGACTGGCTAATTAACACAGTGTAACTTTGTTAAAGTAGAAAAACACAACTTGCAAGGGAAGATCAGGATGCAGAACCTCTCACACAGTACCACTGCTCAGAGCATGGCATTAATAAGGTTATTCTAACCTACTGAAGGTTTGTGCCATGACATAAGCACAAACACACACAACATGTATGCACAGGATGACAAGAAAAATACACAGACACTTGCCAAAGCAGCAAAAACTCAAATTTCTGCAGACATTACAAATGCTGGTCTACAGGTGGGTGGCAAAAAAGACACACACACACACACACAGGCTGTTCTTTGATCTAACTGTAAAAGGAACAGTCTTTTAACCCACACATACTCCCACTTTATCTAACCTTTGGGCCTAACCTGTCAGTGGCAACAGCATTCACTGAACAACACAAAAGAATTTTCTATGGTGTCACACTATTGACCCTGGGCTCTGTGTGGGCTCTGTGTAGGCCTGTATAGGAGCTTTGAGACATATGTCACTGTGTCATATTGGATGTCTTATGCTTAAATATACTTAAATGCATGAACTCCCATCTAATAAGCACTGTTCTGTTGTGTTTGTCTTACATTCTTCCCCTGTACTGTAGTCTTTTCTTGTTTTCCTGTGCTGTAGCCACTGAGGGGTCACAAAAGTCACTAATGGAAGACCTAGTCTGCTAGGCATGCTCATTTTGCTCATTTCCAGCCATTTAATGTTTAATCTTGGGTACCTCTAGATTGGCTTTGCACCCATCATAACTCCGAATAGTCTAATTATTTCAGAATGATAAAACCAGAGAGCCAAGAGGATAGTTTGTGAACGCACACACCTCCTGCTGCCGATGTTGCATCGAAAATGGACAGCAAAATGAACCACAACGGCATTAATTTGAATTTCTCCACCACAGATAGGTAAACAACAGAATATCTACTGATGAAAGGAGATGTGCAACACTCTAAACAAAGCAGGTAATTGGGAAACCTCATATTTTACCTGGCATAATGCAGACACAGTAACTTCTCCAGCCTCACAACAGTTCACCTTACAGAAAAAAGGCATTAGCAGCCATGTAATGTGTGTTTTTTATTTATGTTGTCTTCATTGCCATTGGGATGAAAAGAGAATTTCAAGGTATGAAACAAAAAAAATGCTTCAGAAAAGAATGCCAACTCTACTTTTAAACCTTCTAGGACATATAAAATAGAGTATAAAGACACATTCTACAGCCCAAGTGTGACCATGTTACAAAACTAACACATTTAGATGTTGCGTCTAAAAACTCATTTTCAATCTTTCTGTCTCACAGTGCCTTCATCTGGACATTAATTAAATGTAACTGGTTGGATCTCATGGAGTGTTTATCATTACTGAGGAATGCACACAAGCACTGCTCAGGCAAAAATAATGAGACGAATGGAATGTTAGCCACAACTCTGCAATGTTTAGCAACGGTAGCTTATTATGAATCTCATTTCCTCATCTCCAGATCGGTGCAGCCTCAGTGGAAATATAGCTAACAAGCTAAACTAATAAGCACATTCAAAACCCTCACTTCAGCATATTGAGCAGATAACTCCAGCTTTTCACAGGATGAAAGCGTTAAACTTTGACATGGGGCACAGGATGTAGGCATCTCCATAAGAAAGTGCAACACAGCAGAAAAGTGGAGTTTTTACAATATTTAAAATAACAAAAGCAAAACAAAACAAAAAACAAGTCCAGATCAGAAAGCCTACCTGACTCCATAGCATCGAGGACCTACACAAACATACAGTACTGCATGTTTGTGTATGTTCATATACTGTATATGTGTGTGTGTTAGAATTAGAATTAGGTTTAGTATAAGGTTAGTGCAAAGGTTGAAGTTAGGCAGATACCATGGTATAGTAAAGAGGTTAAGGAATAAACTGTGACAATAGGTGTCCTCACAATTATACAGCAGAAAGACAAATTTGTACATGTGTGTGTGTGTGTGTGTGTGTGTGTGTGTGTGTGTGTGTGTGTGTGTGTGTGTTTAGTGCGCAGATATTTCTGGTGCACTACGTGAAGATCCCTGCTGACAGCATGTCAAGCAACCTGTCAGATTTGGAGGAAGAGGATTATGATCTCCTTGTGTACACTTCATTTCCACTGAATTCAAGCTATACTCCATTATGATCGGACTGTTTGTGGGAGAGTAGGAGAGAGAAAGCAAGACAACCAGTGAAGAAGAAAAAAAAAAGAAGAGGACAACAGAAGATTTAGGCAGTTACCAGCCGCCTCTGGTCCATGCTCAGAACACTGTATACTCTCCACAGCTGCTACGTACTCTGATCAGGCCCCGCTATTGATGCCGGTATGAGCAGTGCTTGACGCTAGCCACAGAAACGAGTGGCATCCGAGTCTGAGATCAAAGCTTGTGACATTAGGGAGGAGGGTGATGAGGCCACCAGGCCAGCAAGAGAGTCAACTACACATACAGTACACAAGCATGATTTGTGTGGGCAGAGATGACTGATTTATTCTTTTTCAAAATTTCTGTCTCCAGTTAGCGGATATGCTAGTTTACAGCCCTCACACCCAGCCATGTTGACAGCCATGTTAAAAAGTTCAGCCGAGCAGTTTGAAAGATTAAACCTCCAGCATAAAGAACAGTTGAGCAGTCAGAGTAAAACCACAGTATTATGTGGCTTCTGGTGCTGTCTGCAAACATACTGAGCCCTCCATCTAGACATAAATTCACACATTTAAATATATAGCACACATGCACCTGAATATACAGTACAGCATGCATGCAAAACATATCTCTCTGTACCACACACACACACTCACACACACAGACAGAGGTCCGTCTACAAACATCCTAAGCTCAACAGCAAACACAGCTTGTGCTACCCGTATGCTAGCCTGCAAGTCTTCTACCCTCTGCAAACCCAACCTGTTACTAATTAAGACTTGTGTGCATGTGTGTATTTCAAATGTGTGAACATACTATTCATTGAGACTATAAACATTTATTGAGCCTGACTGTGTGGTAATTAGAATACAGATTTTTGTGCAATGCCTAGAAAGAAGAACCGCGTTCGCTTCTTTCTTCAGTAGAGACTCTAGCAGGACAGGAGTGGACATGCCTAGTTTCAAAAGGATTTAACCAAAGAGAAAAAAAGCCCATTGCCTGAGTCACTGACTATCCATTTACTGTAGCTTCTGTCAAGCACTAAACATAACCTCTACTCATATACAAGCATGCTGAGTGACATGCGAGTATGCCCACCACCAAAGGCTTAAGGGGCTTTCAGATAGGACGTGATGGGCGCTGTGCTCTGCTATCACATTTCTACTGTATGTGTTACACAGTGCAAGAACGTATCTGCACTGCACCGGGTTGACCGCAGCGCAAGGTCACGCGTGCGGTCCCTACACCCTGCACTGAAGTTAAAAAAAAAAAAAAAAAGAGAGACTTCGATGACACCCATTGCACAGAACCTGACAGACCACAAAAAGAATGGAGAAGATTCTGATTTTGGCAGCCCCACACCCTCTTCTTCTTTGCTGCCGCTCGTCTCCTCCTCCTCATCACTACAACTAAAGCCAGAGCTTTTCACTTACATGCAGATAGATACATCGTGCATCCAAGTCCGCTGCTTGAAAAACTAGTTAATATCCACTAACCACCTCCTGGGGAGCTTTTTGGTTACCTAGCAACTGGTACCCAACATGTGCACGATTTTCGTGTGTGCGCCCTCCTCCCCTGTACTTCGCCCAACCCCAGCAGCGAGTGCAGTGCATACCACGTCCAATCTGAAAGCCTTTTTATTCCAAACCTGGGTATTAATATTACATCATCAATCAAAAATAAACAAAAGACTGACTAAATGAAATGTCAAAATGAAGAAATAAAAGGCTGTATGAGTGCGAATTTGAAGTTTACTCTCAAGCTTTAAGTAGATGGACCACAGGAGGCAACTGTAGGACATAACACTGCAGGACACATAATGTCCTATAAAGGTCTTCTCCATTTGAAAAGAAGAGGACTTTCTCCAGAGAGAACCCATGTAAAGGTCCTTCTTGTGTGGAACCTGGTGAGGCTGTGACTTAACTCTCGACCAACAGCTCGCACACCTTTTCTGCCTGGTAAATGTCAGACAGACAGATGAAAGGCAATCAAAGGGCTTGTAAGGGCTCTCTGGAGATGCCACCGTTTGAATCACATTTACAGACATACCTTGTGCAGTGCTTTTTCTACAGATTTCTGTGTATACTGTACTTGCTATCTGATTCTGTAGCAGCTAGTTTAAATTTACTTAGACTTGGCTAAAGTCACATAGCATAAATGGTATTTCTTATGCACTGCACCCACTGTATTATTGCAAAAGCATAATTACCAACAAGTGTATCATCTGATAAGGTTTCAGCAAACAAGTATGAAAAGACAACAGAAAAAGGGAAGAAACCCTGGTAGAGTAAATCTCAAGTCTCTTATAAGGTTGTTCCTATACGTCCTCGGTCGACCAGAACATCTGGGTCGAGCGAGGATGTAGGATGTTCCAAGTATCTTATATCGGCTCTGAGGACCAAAGAGCAAGGACTGAGGATGGTGCTGAATAAGCCATGACCAAGAATACACTTGACCATCCTTTGCAGAAGTATTTTGTGAACTGACATGTCCCTTTATCAGAAATCAGTTGGTGATTGGACACCCCAGATGAAAGATGTGAAGAAAGGACATCTCAAGTCATTAAAAACATCCATGTAACAACATACAGTGAAACCACAGTTTTGGATAAACACAGGCCTTGTGGCAGCTGAGTTTTTCCAATAACATAATGACAAACATGACTGACACATCCTGTGGGATAAACTAAATTCATGATCTTAAGTGTTGACAAAAAGTCGTGATGGCATTCAGTCCCTAAAGTTGACTAAGCAACAGCTAACTTACCTTAACCATGGGCATGCTGTGTCAGCACAGAGCAGATGCACATCTTGACGGAACTCAAACTGGCCCTGGATCTAAGTTGTCACTTCGTATTAGTAATTTCTTGAAGTTGTAACTTTTTAAAATGCATTCTCACAGACAAAATACACACTACATATTTTATATATGATTTCACATATTCAAGAGTTTACAAACACATTTTTGTATCCAACGTATTAAGTTATGCACAACCATAGACTAATACGCATATTATTGCCAGCTGTCTTACCTCATACTTTAAACATTGGAGGTGAATTTTTTTTCACATTTATCTTGCAGATCAATGATATTTTTCGAGCCAATATACTGCCAATGATTCTTTGCACATCAATGAAAGAACATTGCTGAGTGAAAAGCTGCATTATTTTTTTTCACCCCAAGGTCAATATGTTGAACTCTTCGCTTGCAACAGGAACACCTGTGGCCAATCATGATGCAGTTTGCTGAAACTTGCAGCATTGTTACCACAAGTGCATGGTGCACCAGTCAGCTAAACCTATTTATTAAAGTCGTGTTCAGTATATATTTTACTTCAGATGCACAGCCAGGTGCCATTTTGGGTCAATCGGGCCATTGTAATTGTTCCCCTGCATCTTCAAGTGCTTTGGTGACATGACAACTCCTCAAATTGTCCCACAAACATCCTGAAGTGGGTCCAAAAATGACCATGGTACAGTTTTAACAAGCAGTGAAACGTTCCTGGTTGCCTTTTTATTAATGCATGCCTTGTATTTAGCAGAACCATCACATGCAGGTCATCATTGCTTGATATGTACTTTTCTAGTGCAACAATTTAGAACTTCCCATTCCATATTCATGTCACGTTTGGTGTGAATACGTATATGCTGTGCATTTAAACCTCCTCTAAAAAAAACACCACTACATATTGTTTAATGGCATCACTCTTCATGTGAAAAAAACCTTACGACAAGGAAAAGATGCAAGTAAGGGAAACAATGGATCTTATAAGAGACTCGGGATGTACCGACTCATTGCAAAAAGTGAGTGTTACAATACAGACTATTTACACTATATCCATTCACTACCTGCCATAGTGCTGTAGCTACATGAATATGCTCAAATCATCAGAGAATGATTGCGTGTGTGCATGTTTGCACAGAAAATTGTGTCTGTGCCTGCATTTTTATGTTTGTACATTAGTCTGTGTGTTTTTGTAGAAATGTTGTATATGTGTATAGCTTTGTCTACATTAACTTTGCAACTTTGGAAGTCTGTGAAAACCGCTAAATACGTATTTCCAAGTGTGTGTAAATGTTGTACCCTCTTCTCCAGTTGTGCCAGCTGTTCCTTGTAGAAGGCATCCAGGGCTTTCAGCTGTGAATCTTTCTTCTGTAGCTGCTGAGTCTGCCAGGACACACACACACACACACACACACACACACACACACACAAGTGAGAAGGGGATTATACAGTGTATACTGCTGTGTTTTTCAATACATGGTTGAAGACTAGTGATGTGTAGAGTAGCAGTCCAGGTTTTTGTTTGTTTGTTTGGTATTTTTTTCAAGAAAGTACTTATTTAAATTTCTGTGATAATATTCTTTTATAGTACTCCAATGTGATAAAATAGTGGTTCCCCGCCTATAGGTCAGGACCCCACAAAAGGTTACAAGTATTATTATTTTAAAGATATTTAACAGGGTAGGAAAGTAGAGTCAGAGGGGTCATAGATTTCTTAAGTATTTTTCCTGTTCCCATTTAATTTTCCTTCAATAAATACCTTCACTCTTACTTAACATAAAAACATCAGATGATGTAATAAGGATGTAGATTTATGTTATGATGTTATGTTATGGAATGGCGCTGTGACCAGTTTAAGTGTCATTTATGAGAACTCGTGTTTTATCTATCATTTTTTTAATGGCAGACAGCTTAAAACCCTACAATACCCATGAGCCTCAGCCCCCATTACTATGGAGAAATCATCAACCTTTAAATGAATCCGACACAAAACAAGGTGCCATGGCTGCCAAAATAATCCAGAATCAACCAAGAATCGAGCTTTATTGGCCAGGGGCGTTGGACACGAGGAATTTGACACTGGTACAGCAGCTGTTTGCAGCCGAGTGTGAAGCAGCTGGGATGAGAATCAGCACCTCCAAGTCCGAGGCCATGGTTCTCGGTTGGAAAAGGGTGGCTTGTTCCCTTCAGGTTGGTGGAGAGTTCCTGCCTCAAGTGGAGGAGTTCAAGTATCTTGGGGTCTTGTTCACGAGTGAGGGAAGGATGGAACGAGAGATTGACAGGCGGAGTGGTGCAGCTTCTGCAGTAATGCGGTCGATGGACCGGTCCGTCGTGGTGAAGAAGGAGCTGAGCTGTAAGGCGAAGCTTTCGATTTACTGGTCGATCTACGATTCGACTCTCACCTATGGTCATGAGCTTTGGGTCATGACCGAAAGGGCAAGATCCCGGATACGGGCAGCTGAAATGAGCTTTCTCCCCCGGGTGGCCAGGCGCACCCTTAGAGATAGGGTGAGGAGCT